AACATGGGAGTGAAACTGATACCATATGAACAGTGTGACCCCCTCTTTGGTTGTGACCCCCCCTCTGCCAAAACCACCTCCATCACAAGCAAGATGCCTTCATGAGATAACTTACTTTCATACTTGAAGGCTTTTATGGCTTTAGTACTAAACCTCTTTGGGCTATAAAAGCCCCATGAATACTATTAGAAAAGGGGAGCGATTGAGGATAAGAACAAGGAACTAGATCATGGATCAGATGGAATTAGGGAGGCAGTTTGATAAAGAATTAAGAGTTAGGAGAGATTCTCAAAGAAGGTGCTAGTGGTGAAGATGATATGTTGGAAATCCTTTCTCTGAACCCAGAGTTGGGAGGGCGATGCAGACTCTGTTTCATTTTTATGCAGTTCCTTTGGGTTTGGGAAGAACTTGACCCTTCATTTCAAAGCACTAAAGAAAAAATCAATTTAACATATGTAAATAATAATTTGGTGTTACTCTTTCTATCTAATGAAGCAAATTATTAGAAATTATAAGGACACTTCTACATAAGAATTTTGCATCAGTTTGAAAGCCACGCCAAACTTCTGTATTCCTCAGTAGAAGAGTTCAAGACCTGAGCTGATTTTCAAGACCCCACTACAAAGCTAGATTTTATAGGTCCTCTTTCTCCATTAGAGGGAACTCTTGTGTCACTCCTCCTCCAAGCTTCTGAGGTTCAGGTCCTGTAAACAGAATGCTGGGCAAATAGGCTTTACAGCTCCTCCTCATTCGCCCAGACTAAACAAGCAGGGGTGAAATTGCGAAGTGTACTTTCAATTTCCCTTTTCTCTTCAGCAGACCACCCTTGTAAAATACCATGATACTGATCTTTCTTTCTTCCCTCCCCTTTGTGTAGTATGAGAGTGAGAGAACTGCACCCACTGCAGTTCAGGTCAGTAATTTCCACTCCTTGTTCTCAGCATTTTATGTCAGCAGAATTAAAGACTACAGGTAGTCTTTGTTTAGCAACTGCCTTGTACAGCAACTGTTCACAGTTATGACAGTGATGAAAAAGTAACTTTGCGACCAATCCTCGCATTTACAACCTTTGCAGGTCTGTAAAGCAAATGAAAGCTAAAGTAAGATCATAAGCACAGTTGTGGTTTCACTCAGCAACTGCTTTGCTTAACAACTGAGTTGCCAGTCCCAATTGTCATTGCTAAACGAAGACTACCTGTAAAAGCAATTTGTCTGTCTCTGAGTGTTTCAGGATTGGAAACAGTGGTGGTGTGGAAGTGCCATAAGTGATCTGTTACTTGGATATTCTTTGTCCATACTCTTCCTTTTCTCCTCCTCCTCCTCTTCCTTTTGCAGGAAAGACAGTCCCTGTTAACAACCTGAATTCCATTCTGGAAAACTTGGGGATTAGTTTAACAGAGGAGGAAATGAATAAAGCCCTCAAGCAAGTTACAGTTGATGGTGAGAACTACAGGGAAACATGTTTAAGGTTTTAGTGATGTGAGAGAAGAAACTGGAAAGGGAGGCTAGAAGCTCATTGAATACCAAGCAGGAAGAACTTCTGGAGATCAAAAACAGCCTGGAGGCATGACAGTGCTCCCACATTCATCAGAACTGTTGGTGTTTTCAACATTTTTGGAGGCTCGACCATCAAACTGGGCTTTTTATTATGAACTTTTTTTTTATTTAAAGGGAAAAAAACCAGATACCTTTCTCAAAACACATTCAGCTACTTATTCCATGAATACCCTTGGAAACACCTTTAGCATATTCCCAAATGTCCTCAGTTTTACTTGAAGTGTTAATTTGCCCTTAGCCAGGTCTGTTACAGCTTTTATTCTTTCTGTTCTAATACCCATTAGATGTGTTCATTTTTACATTTCTTAATTTAGTTCCACCATGATCAATGAATTTTCATCTGAAAGAATTAAGGAGGTTAACTCAAAATAACCTTCCTCCATCTAGTGACTTTACAATGCCCAGAATTCCCAGCAGGTACAATATGAGAATTTGGGGTATTGCAGGTCCAGCATATTTGAGGGGGGGGGGAGTTTTTCTACCATGTCTAGGTTAGTTGGTTTTAAACCGGGGCATTTATGGAGGACTCAAAAATCAAGATAATGGCCACATTCTTGCCCTGCCCTTTTTTACTTAGTTACTGGTTTTAAGTTAAAGTTTCACACTGCCTGCTTTGCTTCACCATTTTTTCTGTACTTCCAAATGGGTGTGAAGTTCTTTGTAATTTGGATCCACTGCGTCTGGAAAAACCATGGAGTTTGCTAATGAAGCCAGGGATCACACTGAGAAACCTCTGCCCATAGTAACTGGAGAGGGCAGAGGTGACCACCCATGCTATGTCAACATTTCCATTTCTGATTCTTGAATGATGGGAAGCCCTTCTTCCCTTAAAATAACTAATTTTAGAATGGTGAAAATCTTTTCAAGGCCAGCCCTACTATTAAACAGACTGAAGTGTTCAGCTAGCTAAGTTTGGGGTAATAAGTGGGCAAGAGATTATTTTTTCTATGAATGTTATGGCTGACAGGCACTTGTGAGACGTTTTGCTTCAGGAGACACAGTAACATATGGTACTGTGAATTTTGACTGGAAAAAGGTACCATTGACTGTTAAATTTGCCTGCCAATGGCATTGTCACAGAGACTGGCTGCTTCCCTGCTGCTCATCCCCATCCCCATCTTTCTTTCCACATGAATCTTTTTCCTGCGTCCCAGACCAGAATGCAGCAAGGCAGAGTTCCTCAACCTTGGCAACTTGAAGATGTGTGAAGTTCAACTCAACCTCAACTCAACTTCAGCTGAAGATGTGCGGACCTGAAGATGTGTGGAGTTCAAGTCCACACATCTTCAAGTCACCAAGGTTGAGGAACCCTGCAGTAAGGCAGCCCCCACTAATACTCCAACACTGTTTCATATAATAATAATGCCTCACTTTGAATGCTGGGTTCTCTCTTTCCTGAAGGTCCCTTTTTAAAAAAATTTAGTGTCTGCAATGTAAGAACAATGTTCAAAATGTATTTCCCATGTGTGGTGTCCGGTTCTTCTCATTTGTCACTTTTGTAACCTCACGGTAGATGGAATGGTAAACCTGAATGGATTCATGAGCAATGTTAGAGGTATGCAGAAGCTCCCTCAATCTAGCAATGAGCAGTGGCTTGGATACAAAGAAGATATATGAATTATTTCTTTAATTGCTAAATGTAGAAGAGCACCCATCTCCATAAAGACTCTGGGAGGCATACAATATTAAAAACAGTAAGAACAATAAAAGAAGGAAAATAATGTTATATGTCCAGAAGAAAAACTATGTTCTAGTTTTTCTAGACTAAATATGGACTAAATGGACTAAATATGTCCATTCAGACTAACCTATACAATCCTATTAAGAGGTTCACCACCCACCCTAATCCAAGCCTGGAGGGAAGCCAGATTTTAAAAGACTTTTTAAACATAATCAGGGTGGGCACCACATAGATCTCTGGGAGGATTCTGTTCTGGAGGGTTGTGCTGTGCTAGAAAAGACCTGTTTGCTGGGTTTTGACAAATGACATTGTTTAATTGATGGGACCCAGAGCATGACCATTCTGTGTGATCGTAAAGGACACACAGAAACTACTAGAGATGGACAGTCAGGCCTTATGCTATAAAGGATTTTATATATGTAGTAATCAGCACCTTGAATTGTACCTGAAGCCAACTGGCAACCAGTGCAGTTTGTAGAGCAGCAGTGTTACACTGGCATATCAAGGCATCCCCATTACTGCTTGTGCTACTTCAGTCTGGACAAGCTGTAGCTTCTGTGTGGTCTTCAAAGCCAGTCCCATGTAGCTCACATTGCAATAGTCCACATGCAAGGTGACTAGGGCATGAATGACCAGCTAAAGAGCCTTCCGATCCTGAAACAGGCACAACTGGCACATCAGATGGATCTGTGCAAAAATCTTCTGGGTCATAGCTGCCATCTGCTACCTGCTCTTCGAGCAGGAGCTGCAAATCCAGGAAAATCCCCAGATTGTTCATCACTCCTGAATGGGGAAGTACTACCCTGTCCAGAACAAAAAGATGGAAAACCTCTGGAATCAGGGGTTAAGGTGAGGGAGCATATCTATGAAGTCTTGATGGCTGGTTAATTTTCTGAAAAATCTGGTCTTTGGTCAATTTATTTTGCTGTTTAGGTGACAAAGGGGACATAGTTGCTGTGGAAGATGTAGATTCTCTTTTGTCCAACATTGGGATCCACTTAACCAAAGAGCAGCTCCAAGAGGCATTGAAGAATGTGACTGTGGATGGTGAGTGGGAAGAGAGCTACGCTATAAGATAAAATACAAAATTTTACCACCTTGTCTTGCATGAATCTGCTTGGCCTGTAAGATGCCGTAGAGATTTACCTCTGAGTCTTCCTCTCTTAAAACCAGGCTAGTATTACAAAAACGGAGCTATTTATTTTCTGCTCCTATTTTGTGCAATTCCTTACTGACTGAGGCTTGTCTACTGAGAGTACAGTTTTCAGGCATAAGGGAAGAAAGTCTTTTTCCTAGGCTTTTGCTAATAGGCTCTTAGTCTTCTGATTGAGTTAAATCAGAAAGTTATGTTTTTAATTGAAATTTTAAATGTGCATTATATTTTGATCTTATTTTAATTACTTTTGTTAGCTGCTTTGAGTGGTAAAATATTAATAAATGTCACTTTAATGAAATTGAATTATTAATATCCATTTAATATTTTAAATGCAGTTAAGCAGATTTGCAAATTGTTGCACTCAATTCTTCCTGCTGCATTTGCTGCCAACATTATGAGCTGTCTTTCTCTTTTAAATGCCTGTGCAGAAAATGGGAAGGTGAAGATAAATGAACTGATTGAAAGTGTGGTTAAGACCCAGAGACAATCCCAAGCAGAGAGTAAGTGAATTTCCACGGTTGGATTAAAATTCTTAGGGCACGCTGGCAATATTTGGAAAAAGCAGCTGGGCCTGATGGGGTTGAAAAAAGAAGCAGCAGTTAGATGGCAAGGAGAAAAAATTAACACAAGAATCAGTGGGCTAAGCAAAAGGTACTTGGAACAAGGGGCATGTTTTGATTCTGTAGGGATACAGAATATTGTAATGGAAACAATTCAGCTTCTGGGGAGGCTGGTGTTTTTTTGTTTTTTTTTACATTTTAGATGTTATGGTTATGATGGTATTGGCAGCAGTGAATAGCTAATCTTTGCTGACTTTTCAGAAATCAAGGTTATGACTGAATATAAGACTCCTACAGGACAGAAGAGTGAGAAACCAGTATTTTGATGGTGTTGGCTCATTCCTTGTTCAATGAGTTTGATTAAATTAAGCAAAATAGTAAAAATGCACCAATAATGTCAAATGAAGAGAAAGTACAGATAGCCCTCGCTTAACAACCACAATAGGTACTGGAAAATTGGTTGTTAAGCAGGGCGGTCATTAAGCGAATCACATGACTAGACCCGATTTTAAGACCATTTTTATGATGGTCGTTAAATGAATCATGTGGCCATTAAACAAATCCATCTTCCCCTATGGACATCTTTAGCCAGAATTTGCTTAATGACCACATGATTCACTTAACAACCTTGGTGATTCACTTAACTACCATCATAAAAAAAGGTTGCAAATCGTGATCACGTGACTGTGGGAGGGTGGCAGTTTGTGACGGTTCGAGTCCAGCTTTTGTGTTACCAGGGTGAGCTCCTGTTTCCTCCCCTGTAAACCCAACAGTTCGAAAACTCATGTGAGTAGATAAATGGGTACTCTCACTCCAGT